GATTGGTTGAGAATTGTTGATGATGTTGAGGAGATGTGATGATGATCATGACTAGTATATTTTGATGAACTTGATGTTTCGTTTTGTGGGACATTTATTTACCCTATGAGACGTTTGAGCCTTATTTTGTTCTTGAGAGATATTGATCGAATTCTTGTTGATCAGAACTTGCTTTGGGTTTATTTTGAAATGAATGGATTAAAATAATGAATTATGAAAATGATTGAGGCATTTCTTTGACATTGCTCGTTTAGCCTTCTTCTTTGACCCTTGATGTGAAAATGTTCATTAGTAGCCCGTTGAGCCTGAACCGTATTTCTTGTCAACCGAATTGATTGAAATTCTTGAGTCTTGGCATTGATAAGATGACGGAGCTTTTAATATGTGTTTGAAGAAGGTATATAACTTGTTGAATTGCATTTTGGGTGCTTGAAAAAAAAATGAAAAAAAAAATGGGGACTCGCAAGACGGACTTAAGGATTCTACTCCGCTTACTTGTTGAAATTCTTTGACGAGTAATGAGTATTGGGAAACCATTATAGGAAACTTGGATGACCTCCAATGTTTAAACCTAGAGAATGTTGTCCTGAGGTCTTAGTCTTGTTAGAAAAAAAGCAAACTCCCTAAGTAAAAAAAAAAAAATCGAGTACTTGAGGTGCAATTTAGCTTGAGCGAATGTAAATGTTGCATGGAGTTTTGATGGGAATGATTGATGTTGTGCTGATTTTGGATAGGTGGTGATATATTCGAGTAGTTTATATGCTCGAGGATGTGATTGTTTATTTGAGCCATTTTTTCCTTATATTTTTCCTTCCCTGATGCCTACACTGCAACCCGATAGTCCTTTTGATTTACAATTCATTATTTTGATTGTTTTAGAGTATGAATAGACAATGAGCAAGCTTATGTTGATGCATGATGATCGACCAATTTGAGCATCCCAGTTTTATATTCATGAAAGAAATCGAGTGAGGCCTTTATGTATTATATTTCCGTGCTTGAGAGTTTGTCGTTTCAAGATGTCGCATCCGAGTGTAGTTGAGATATGCGTGATTGGTCATTGGACTTCTCCTCGGCTAAGTTTATTAATTTGAGACTTGTCTTAATTGAACTATTATCCATGCTCGTTTGTTTGCTTTCGTGTCTTTTCTTTTCTTTTTGTTCGGGACGAACAAAGGTTTTAGTGTGGGGGAGTTGTTTGTCCCATTTTTGTTGCGTTTTTAGTTGTTATTTTCCTTTTCTTTTTCCCCATTTCGAGTCTTTTCGTTTGTTTTTAGTTCGTTTTCCAGTTCATTTCCTATCTTTCTTTATTTTATTCCTCTCTATGTTTTTAGTTTATTATCTTGTCTCGTTTTCTGCGTTTGTTTCGTTGTCGTTGGTGTGCAGATTGAATGCCTCAGGAGGATAGGTTATGCGAAAAACGTGCGTCGGGCCCGAGAATAAAATTCCGATACCCGATGAGCATAAACGAGCCCGAGACACCGAACAGTACAGAGAGGCTAACAGCTCTTGGTCCAAGTCGCGCCACGGCACCACACAGCGCGCATTTCTGATGCCGCGGGTACTCGATCATACATCTATAGGCACCACGAACATACAGAATTTTCCGCACGGCGATCAACAAGGAAGCAATGGATACAAGAAGAACCAACCGTCTTCTCCACACGCTCATCCTCTGCTCCACGCTGGAAACAGGTGCAGAGCCGCCGTGACACGCCGCTGCAAGCTTTTCTGCAGAAAGCACACACTCATGCTATTGCAAGAGCTTCTCCGCGCCGCGGCAGGCAGCACGCCGCGGCGCCTGCTACCTCTCTCCCCATCACGCCTCTGCCGCGCCGCGACACCTCCACGAGGACGACAGAGAGGTTCCCAAGTTCCAAGTGTCGCGTCGTGCTTCTCGCCGCACCGTGATGAGCCCCACCGCCGCGCCGTGATAGCAGCTCCGCACCGTGGAGAAGAAGGTCGTCGCGCTGCGAGGGATGTCAGCGTCGTAGAGAAGAAGGCCGTCGCACCGTGATAGCAACACCGCGCCGCGCCACCTAAAGCTCCGCATCTGAAGACCCACTCTGCCGCGCCGCGACGTCGCCCCGCGCTGTGACATCGTGCTTGTATAAATATTAGACCCATCGCAAGCAGATGGGATTATTCTTTTTTCACGCGACAGAAGACCGAACCCTATTCTGGGATATTCCTCTTTCGTTTTTCATCGTTCCTCCATATTTTTCATCATAGAACAAGAATTTGACATTGGATTTTGTTATTGCTTTCAGAATTAATCTTATCTATCGAAGGCGACATTTGGATTTTATCAATCGTAAGATTTCCTTTAACTTTATCGTTAATTATGAATTCTTGGGTTGTGATGAATGCTTTCGTTGTTTCTTCGATTATGAGTAGCTAAATTCATATGCTAGGCAATAGGGGATCGATGCTTTGAATTTGTTTGTGATTGTCGGGCTCAAGATTGTTCAATTTATCCGATTCATGCTTAATTAGGGTTTTCGATTTATGCTTGAATGTTGAGAATTATTGAAGGGTGACACTTCAATTTACGATTATTTTGATTGAATTTGATTCGTTCTCGCATTATATTGTTAACTCGATATCGACTAGTTGATTAACCATCTTCTAGGATTAGTCAATCGGCTCTTAGAACCGAAAGGGGAGGAGTCGGTCGAAATAGATTCACATGACCTAGGCTTAGTCGTAATTGTATTGCCTAGGAGTTAATTGACTTTTTAATTTGCCATTCTAGTTTATTCTCTTGTTACGAATAGTTATTGAGAATGAATGCTCGATCAGGTAGATTATTCGAATTTCTTAGCTAAACAATCACTTGCCCGTTAGTTGCATGTCGAACCAAAGTGGGAATCCCCGACTCCCTAACTTCTTAAACCTTATTTGTTCTACGTGATCGTCTGCTACTTACTTGCTTTATTTTAATTATTTGCAGTAGCTGATAATTAAAAACCATCCAAACTTTAAGTTAGTATGTTTAGGACTTTTATCTCTTTTATTTTCCTATTTGTGTTTGAATAAATGTACAACGTATTCCGGCTGACCTTCCTCAGCGACACGACCCGGTGATGAATCTTTCGATTCTAGTCCGGTAAAAATATTTACAACAGTTGGAGCAGACGTGGTTCTAGAAGTGCAATGGCTAGAAGGATTAGGGAGGGTGACCACGGACTACCGTAACGGAATCATGGAGTTCAGATCTGGAGGTAAACGAGTCACTCTCAAGGCTGGAGGAGAGAAGGTTACTAAGGAGGTTGGATTGAAGAGTATCGAAAGAGTTTGGCGAGGTGGCGGCCAAATTTTTGCAATAGTAGTCGAGAACATAGGGGCGCACGTGGGCAAGACCGAGCAATAGAAAGGAGATGTGCATGAGCTTCTCGAGGAATCTGAAGGAGTACTATGCGAGCCTAAAGGATTACCACCCCACCGGGAGTTCGACCACTGCATACCTCTAGTCAATGAGCAGCATGTTTTACACGTCCACCCATATAGGTACGCTCACTTTCAGAAAACTGAGATCGAAAGGCAAGTAGCTGAGATGTTAGAGTCTGGGTTAATTCAGCATAGCTCGAGTCCATTTTCATCATCAGTACTGTTAGCTAAGAAGAAAGATGGTACGTGGAGGTTTTGTACTGACTATTGGGCTTTGAATGCCGTGACTATCAAGGATCCAATTCCTATTCCTAGTGTCGACGACATGCTCGATGAGTTAGCAGGATCACGCTACTTCTCGAAGTTTGACCTGAGAGCTGGTTATCATCAGATCCGACTCCACAAGGCCGACATTCCGAAGACAGGTTTTTGTACGCATCAGGGGCATTATGAATATTTGGTGATGCCATTCGGGTTGTGCAACGCCCCATCTACTTTCCAATTTGCTATGAATTCCATCTTCAAGGAGTATCTAAGTAAGTTTGTTCTAGTCTTCTTTGATGACATCTTGGTATATTCGAAGTCGCGGGTTGAACATATTGAGCATTTGAGAGTGGTGCTCGAAGTCTTTGAGGCTAACTCGTTCCACATCAAGCCATCCAAGTGTTCGTTCGGGCAGGAGATGGTTGAGTACCTAGGCCACTTTATATCATATGATGGCGTGAAGGTTGATCCACGGAAGATAAAGGCTATGGTCGACTGGCCTAAGCCGACGAGTCTCACGCAACTCCGAGGATTCCTAGGGCTCATAAGGTACTATCGAAAGTTTGTGAAGGATTACCGGACCATCGCCAAGCCATTGACCGAGATGAACAAGAAAGGCGGGTTCCGGTGGACCAAGGCTAGCGAGGAAGCATTTGAGAAGTTGAAAGGCACTATGACCACGACGCCAGTGCTCGCAATGCCAAGGTTCGATGTTCTATTTGAGGTCCACACGGATGCGAGAAACGTGGGAATTAGAGTCGTGCTAGTACAGGAAGGACGACCACTGGCCTTTTTTAGTAAGGCACTAGGCACGACTCGATTGGGGCTGTCGATATACGTGAAAGAGATGCTAGCTGTTGTCGAAACGGTGAGGTGCTGGAGGCCTTACCTATTGGGGCGGCGATTTCGAATCGTAACCGACCAGCAGTCGCTCAAGCATCTACTCGAGCAAAGGATTGTTACCTCCGAACAGCAAAAGTTTGTCTCAAAGCTAATGGGGTTCGACTTCGGGATAGTCTATCGGCCAGGTCGACAGAATGTCGTGGCCGACGCATTATCCCCATGGACAGATGTAGCCGAGCTCGCGGATATCACCGGACCAACATGGGCCATTTGGGAGGAAATTCAGAAAGCGCAAGAGGAAGATACTTATTGTCAGGAGCTACGCCAGGAAATCAAGGCAGGAGACTTACCCCCGGCTTATTATGAGCTGCACAACGGCCTATTACTGCACCGAGGCCGAGTATATGTTCCCGACAGTGAAAAACTACGAGAAATGATCATACAGCACTTCCACGACTCTAAAGTTGGAGGGCACTCGAGAATCTATCGCACGTGGATGAGGATGGTCAATACTTTTTTTTGGCCTGGACAGCAGGGCACGGTCCGAGAATATGTGGCACGATGCGACGAGTGCCAACGTACCAAGTCTGACGCAAGAAAACCGAGCGGGCTGCTGCAACCACTACTGGTACCCGAGGCGATTTGGGAAGACATCACTATGGATTTCATTGAAGGGCTGCCAAGTTCCAATGGATTCAACGGAGTAATGGTCGTGGTGGATCGACTTACCAAGTATGCTCACTTCATACCCATCACACATCCCTATACGGCGAAATCTATCGCCAGGCTATTCGTTGAATATGTGATGAAGTTGCACGGAGCACCACGATCTATAGTTTCCGACCGAGACCGGATCTTTATGAGTTGCTTTTGGTCCGAATTTTTCAAACTGCAAGGGACCAAGTTATCAATGAGCTCAGCATATCATCCCCAAATCGATGGGCAAACCGAGGTAACTAACCGAACCCATGAGCTATATCTACGGTGCTATGTCCATCAATTTCTGAAGAAGTGGGAAAATTTTCTGCCCTGTGCTGAGTACTGGTACAATACCACTTACCATGAGTCAACCAAGATGACTCCATTCGAGTTGGTATATGGGCGCAAACCGCCAACACTAATCAATTACTCAGAGCAAGGCATGGTCAACGATAAGGTCGGTCGAGAACTTGAGGAGCGAGATTTAATGTTGTGAGAGTTGAAGAAAAATCTCAAAAGAACCATTAATCGAACCAAAGCCTTCGCGGATGGAAAACGGCGAGAGGAGAATTATGCGTCGGGCGAGTATGTCTACTTAAAGCTGCGACCGCTCAGACAGCGCACGACAGCACAAAGGGCTGCAACTAAACTGGGAGTGCGATATTATGGGCCTTATCAGATTCTGAAGCGAATTGGTCAAGTAGCTTACCGACTTGAGCTACCCAAGAGTTCACAGATCCATCCAGTTATACATGTCTCTCAGCTAAAGAGAAGTCTAGGAGAAGCACACAACTGGTGCGAGGAGTTACCGGCGACTGCAACTGATGGAAGGGTCATAGTGCGCACAAAACGTGCAATGGAATACCGCTAAGTTAGGAAAATTAGATGCTACCACTGGGAAGTACTAGTTGAATGGAAAGAGTTACCACCGGAAGAAGCCACATGGGAGGATCTAGATGAGATGAGTGATCAATTCCTGAGTTTCGTCCTTGAGGACAAGGAAACACTTGAAGGGAACGGGAATGATACGGAAGTGGCTAGGCAGCTCAAGAACGCCGCAAGTCACGCCTACCACGCACGTAAGAGGCTAGCGTGGTCCACGGGCAAGACACACGCCATTGAGCAGGATGCGCGCACGGAGCACGGGAGTGGCCAACCGGCGGGCGAGAAAGATTGCAGGCAACTGGCACGTAAGACGGGCGAGCGGGCGCTAACTGTTGCAGGCGCGCAGCACGCACGGGCGACGGACGCCACGAGCGCAGGAGCAGGTGAAGCACGCTGTTGGGATGCACGCGCGGGGCACGAGACCGCAGTCCTCGAGACATGCAGAGAGGCGGGGGGTCACGAGCGCGAGGGAGCAGCCAAAAGAAAAGGCGTGCGCGGCACGCCAGGCGGGCGTGCACGCGCGGGGGAAGACGGCGCCCTTGTTCTTGAGGACTAGGGCAAGGGCCAAGGGCGGCGCGTGATTGTGACGGTCTGAGTGAGGCGGTGCGCGAAGAGAAGAGAGAGAGATACTTGGAGTGCAAGCTAAGTTATTTAGTTCCCTTATCTCTTTATGATTTCTAGCTTAATTAGGATTTCTAATATTTTATTGCTTTATTAGTTCCCTAGGTAGATTAGGACTAGATATATTTTGTGTCTATATAAAGGCCCCTACCCCATGTTATTTTTTATCATCGAAATTATTAATAAAAATCCGAACTTCTGTTCAGACACTTTGTCTTAGATTTCTTCTATATTTCTATTGCAATTTTATCCGTTTAGAGGGGTGCAGGTTGTGAACCTCTAGGCAACTATCGGCGATTCAAGGCACTAGTTTGTGGCTTATCGGCAGTCGGGACACGCGATCTTCATCATTGTTGTGCCCTAGCGCGGACGCATGCACGCACTAGGCACTATCGGGCGCTGCTGGCACTGGCCCGTGCGTGGCTGGGCAAGACTCGTGCACTGGAGGGTGCGACGGGCACCACGCGTGCGCATGGGACGGCTATCGAGTGCTACCGTGCACTACCGACTACTGGCCACGTTGACGCGCGACTAGGTGCACTGTCGAGCACGCTGGCTATGGCACTGGCGCGTACTGGTGCTGTCGGGCGCTGCTG